CCAGCAGGTGCGCGTGCAGCGGGCGCGCGGCGGCCGCCAGCGCGGCCGCCGCCGCGTGCGCCGTGGGGTCGTCGGCGCCGCGCCGGGCCGCCGCGGCGTACCGCGCCGCGGCGGCCGCCACGTCGCCGCTGGGCGCGCCAAAGTCGCGGGCCATGCGGCGCAGCATGGCGCGCCGAGCCTCGGCGTCCTGGCGGGAGTAGTGTGTCATGAAGGCGGCGCACAGGTCGTCGGGGACGGCGCTCTGGGGCGAGGCGCGGCGCAGGCGTACCACGGTGTGCAGCAGCTCGGCCACCTCCTCGCCCAGGCGGGAGTCCTGGGGGGGTGGGTGGCAGGGACAGACGGTCCTGCCACCGCCTCAGCAGCTCCAGGTCGCGGTCGTCACGGTGGAGGGGGGGCGGAGAGGCCAGCCAGCGGCGCGAGCCTGCAGGCCCTGCTGGCCGGGCCCGGCGCCACACCGCCCTCAGGCAGAGCATGCCTGCGATGTTTGCGTGGCCCTCGCTGGCGATGCGGGCGTGGCAAGGACCCAGTCCTGGTCATGAAACCGCATGATATGGTGGAGTCTGGAGTCGGAGGGCATTCATCTCCGCCCGGTGTGTCTCGGGATTCGAAACCCCGACATCGTGAGATTCGCGCGCGCGCATGGACGACGACGACGCCCCCCCCGGGCGCACCCGCCTTTGGGACTGCCCTTCTCATGGGCCGACACCCCACCCCTGAAACCCTGCACTCCCCTCCCCTCCCCCTACTCGAAACAGAAGTAGCTGTTACAGCGTCCTGAGAAAGTCTTGCGTCAGTACTGAGGCATGGTGCAGCGAGGAGGAGAGGAAGGTTTGACGGCGCAGTGCGGCTCTTTAGTAGTAGGCTGATGCGGGGGTGATGGACCAAGGGGAGAACCTCCAGAGGAGAACGGCCTCAATCACGCCCAGGATCACCCAGCCCCACCGGAAGGCGGGCACACGCTCCATGTACTTGCGGTACACCTGCCCGTACTTGCTCTCCATCAGCTGCTCCTCCCGCGGCACCACCGTTACCCGGTACAGCGCAAAGGAAAGGAGGAAGGCGGCCGTGGCGGCCACCGCGCCGCCGGCCAGCGAGAAGCCTGCAAAGGTGTGAGGGGCCAACCAATGAGAGCGCACATAAGGTAGTCATGTTATTGGTCTGTCCAGAAGGGGCACTGGTCGAGCTCCGTACATTCCGAGTCCCTATTTCCACCAGCAAATCGCCCCCCCCCCTTCGCCTCCCGCCTTCTTTCCCACCAACAACCCCCCCCCCCTTCCCCCAGAGAAAGCTCCTCACCCATGATGAACAGGAAGTTGCCCAGGATCTGGGGGTGCCGGACGACGGAGTAGGGCCCAATCATGACCAGCTTCCTTGGCAGCTGCGGCTCGCCCAGGAAGCTGTACACCCCCACCATTAGCGCGGAGGACAGCGTGAGCACCACGCCGTAGACGCAGGCTATGGAGCCGGCAGTGCCCGCGTAGTCGGTCACAACGGTGAGGGGCGGCACTGAGTACCACAGCACAAAGCCTGCAGGGAGCCCCGGGGTGGGGGGGTGGCCAAGGGGTGCTGAATCTGGCCTGAATAGTCATGGTTTGCCGCAGGCACATCACATGCAGACTGTGGGTCCGTGATTGTGCTTCCACATGTGATGTTGCAACCCTGGTGGTCCCCGCCTGAATGACTCTAGCAGAGTGCCTGCCTCCAGCGTCACATCCGCAGCGCCCCCCTCAGTCTCGCCCACCTAGCCAGAAGAGGGCGTTCCAGGAGTAACGGAGCAGTGCCCGCCAGTCGCTGGTCTGCTCCCTGCGCAGCTCCCGCCGCGCGTCATGCCACCACTTCAGCCCGAAGAAGGTCGAAAACGCGGTGGAGGCCACAAACATGGCGGTGGTGTAGGTCTCGAACTGGGCGATGCGGGACAGGAAGTCGTTGCCGGTGAGCACCGACAGGAGGAGCAGGCTCCAGTACGCTATGTTCAAATAGTAGTATACCTGGAGTGGGAGTGGGAAGAGGAGAGAGGAACTTGTAGCCTGGAGGGTGAGAGACCAGCGGGCGGGCGGGGGGAGCCAGGTGTGTGCACCCTCCGATCCAAGAACAGTACTGGTGGGAAGTGAGGGTGTCTAGGGAGCCGTACTTCCGCGTCTGGGAGTGAGCCGCGGCCCCGGACCCTGCCATAGAACCAGCGCACATCTTGAAAGGTGAAGCCCAGCAAGCGCGGGGACGGGGCTTCGGCGTCGTAGTCTACTGGGTTGGTCGCAACCGACTCGGTGGTCTGGATCGCATGGAAGGGCTCGCTGATGTCCAAGGGCCCTGATCCTGCTCGACACACTCGTCTCACGGCCTGCAGGGAGTGTGTGAAGGGGCGAGGAGGCCCGACTCCCCGTGCCACCAGCCGACCGGGTGCAGGGTGTAGAAGCACAGGTCCAGCCGGAGCTGTGACCCGACACCTTGCCAGGGGCAGGGTCATGGTGAAAGAGGGAGCTTTAAGATGCGATGGCATGGCGCTGGTGCTGTACGCACCCCTTTGCCATGCCATGCTCGATCCTGCTCCACCTGCATGCTTCGATCAACCGCGTCACGGGGGGTCCCGGGGAGCTGGAGCGCACCTGGACCTGTCAGTCCAACACACAGCAGCCGCGCTCTGCATTAAGACCTAAAACAATCCAGAGCTTCTTCCCTGACAGTCTGTGCTATCATCGTCCACATTGCCCCAAGTTTCGCGCTCGCTACCTGGCCCAGAACTCGTCGAGCATCGTCTCACCTCCGACAGGGGTGAGCACCCCATGATGGGATGCAAACGGATGCAGGAATGCCGTGTACCACACCTCAACGACTACTTAATGTCCTCGCAGGTCTATCTATCCCCCATGCATCCCATATTCGAGGACCTGAAGCGGTCTCTGGTGAGCATCTCCATGCATGCCCTGCACACCGAAGCCAACCGGCCAGAATGTCTGCGTCTGGCACGGTATGTGGCCAAGGTGTCCCTCATATTCACTGAGCTGGAGATGCATGCTGCCTATGACGAGCTCCTTGGAGGTGCGGTGGTGGAGGCGATGAGGTATGTGCCATGGCAGCCTGTTTGTCTCGTCTGCTCAGAGTGGGGTTTCCACGGGGGTTCCACTCCATGTGGCACGTCTCTCTATCAAAGCTCTGTGTTTGAGAGCTCTGTCTTTGCGTCCCTGTCCCACGTGTGTACCCCAAACACAAGTGTACCGCCACCACAGGGGAACAGTCGCTGCTGGCTGCTCTGGACGAGCTGGGCGACGCCATCCGCCAGGCAGATGCGCTGATCAGCCGGTGCCAGGAGGGAGAGGCCGGCAGCGTCTGGCCCCTCGAGGACTCTGCCGACTTTCAAGCCGTGGCATGGTCGCTGCACGCCGGGATGCAGGGTATGCACTCCGGGGTCTTGCATGGCAGGACATGCGGGGAGGGTCTCGCCCAGCGTTCTGAAGATCTGAGCCTTCCTCGCCCTCGCTGCTCACCGCCTGTCTGCCTACACTCTCTTTGTCCCCCTCTACTCAGGACTGGAGGCTGTGAAGAGTCATCACATTCCACGCGACGTTCGCTCAGACATCGAGCACTTCCGGCAGCAGCTCGCATCCCTGAACTTTTCCGCCAAAGAGATGGAGGCCTCCAATGATAGGGAAGCTGCGCACACATTCGAGCGGGGCACGAGCCAGGGTGAGGGATGAGGTGTGGGAATGAGTGGAGCCTGTGTTGGTCTTTCTTCACAGGGCCACCATGTACACATTCATGAAGAGTTTCCAGGACGCCGCCCGCCCGCATGTCAGTCACGCTCCGTGCACCTGGTACTTTTCTTGCAGAGAACTTGAGCACAAGCGAAACCAGCAACGTCGCCGCGGCCGTCAAGGCACTGGAGGGGGAGGGTTTGACCCCGGACCACGCACCAGATAGCGCCAGCCCCAGCCCCAGCAGCCCAGGCCTCTTCCCGCAGCTTGCGCCTGGTGAGATGGGTGGATGGTGGACATCGATGCCTGCTGCTGTGTATGATCCCTGATGGTGCAAGCATACCACAAGGTGTGGATGATTCCTGCTCAGACAGACGCTCCCTCTTCCCCCTCTGCCCTCTCACCTGGTTGCAGTGCAAGCCAAACCGGCCTCCCCGCTGCCGGAGGACCCCTTCAACATGACGCCGCACAGCCTGGAGAGATCCACCCTGTCCCAGCTCGAGGTGCGGCGTTGCGGCGGCAGCCCTCACCGGCAGGGGGCTCTGCCAGATGCATCGTCCCTTGCACTCTGGGTCGTGGTGCGAAGTCTCAGCCTGACTGTGTGGACATCCACCTGCCAACTCCCTGCACCTACAGGACCTCAAGGATGGCAGCAATGGAGTTCCAGCTGCCCCAATCGCCCTGCTAGAGGGGACGCAGAGCCTGCTGCCGGTGGGTGGTGAATGGTCCTGACTGTGGGTATGGTATGCTGTCTGCCCAAGGGCAGGAGCACCCTGCCTCTGCCATGTGCAGAGGCTGTGGCACATGTCTTGCTGCAGGCGATGGCCTGGTGGTGACGGGTTTCATGGCCGCATCATCGCCTGATCCCAACTGATGGCAAACCCCCCAGGACACGGCACTGCTGGGTGCACCGGCTGAACGCAGCGCTGCACCCACACCCATCCCCGAGGCCTCGATGGAGGGAGAGGCGATCCAGGCAAGCTCCCCATTGAAGCAAGGCCACCCAAACGTGCTGCCAGACCCCGCCTCTCTTCTCAACCCCGGCAACTGCTGATGCTCGTGTGGGCTTCTGGAAAGCTGCGTCCTTGAAACACACTCCGTCGATTGGTGCATGCAGAGGTCGCGGTGATTCTCATGAGGCCGAGCCATAACCCCTCGAGTGCCCCCTCCGGCCGCCAGCTCAGGAGGCAATGTCCCCAAGCTGCGCTGATTAATGCATGAACTGACAAACTGTTTGTACAGCAAATGCAACAAACGCGCCGCGGCAAGGTCAGCTGCTAGTGGTAGACGTCAGTCATCAGCTCCGTGCGTGCACCGGCCTCTTTCGACCTGCCAGCTGCTTCAGCAGGCCCCCAGAGAGACTGGGGACGCCGTCGTCCAGGATGGGGTCGGCCTTGGGCTTCCTCTGCCCATAGCGCCTCACCACGACAGGTTTGGCCGGCTTGTCGGCCGCCTGCGGCTGCTCTGCAGGCATGCCGCCCGAGGGGTCTGCTGGAGGTGTGGCCTCCGCCCCCGAGCGCTGCAAAGGCAGAGGCGCAAAGGGATGTGCTCGTGCAGCGAGAGGCATCTGGAACTGCTTGCAACTCTTCACATGGGACAGCTGTGCACCACTTGTGTCCACATGCAAGGACACGGCGGCGAGGCACCGCTCCACCACCACCTTTCCCCCAGCATCAGCACCCGGGTCTCTTACCTCACGGCGTCTCTCCAGCATGGCCGCCTGGGCCTTGCTGGCGTCCACCTGCGCCAGGTAGAAGTCGCGCTCACGCTTGGCCGCAGACACCTCGACCGCCATCCGCTGCTCCTTGATCGCCTTCTGGTAGTTGATCTCTTCGGTGAGATGGTCCCACTTAAACTTGGGCAGATACCGCAGGCACCAGAGGTCGTAGAAGTAGGCGGACCGACGCTTGCCACCCATGGGCTGGCCATTCAGCAGCTGGACGGCCTGGCTCAGAGGAGGGGTGAGTCGAGAGCAGGTTGTGAGGCAGTGCGGCAGATGTGCAGTGTGCCCAGCGAATACTGAGACAGGGTACCCTCCAGTCCATGGCAGCGAACCATGTGCCTTCAGCCAACTCACATCCTTGGCATTCTGCTTGTCCTCAAACTCGACCCAGCCCTCTGTGAAGTTCTTGCCGGTGTTGGCGCCCTTCTCCTTACGCTTGCGCCGGAGGCGAGGATCTGAGGACGAGATCGGGGGCATGTTGCTGCGGACCAGGCCACCGCAGGAGCAAGAATCGTGCATACGGCCTGCACTGGACCTGGGGAGTGCACATACCTTCCAGGGCAAGGTACAAGCGTCCCAGCTGACCATATGGCTCCAGGAGCTGTCTCAGCTTTTGGGGTTTCTGCAGGGGAGAAAAGGGAAGTTGTTTGGCGGTTTGATGTACCTCGCCAGGTCCAAGTGCGGGCGGTCTTACGGATCATAGCTTTGCGACAGCACCCACCATGTGGGGAGGAATGCGACTGATGTATACAATGCCGCGCCGCTCGTACTGTTCCTGCATCTTCTGCAGCATCTTCTTATTAAGAACCGCCGGAAGAGCTGAGGAGGGTCTTTCTGTGTCTGCAGCTGTGTGTGTGTCCCCGCTGTGCTCCCCTGCCGCGACCACTGCCTCCGACGATGTGGGCTCATTTTTGGCCATGTTGGCTGGCTGTAAATATGTAAAGTTGACAAACTATTCACCATACACCCTCCATCGGCCCCGCTGGGACCATTTCACGAGCTTTGTCTCGAAGGGTGCCTTCGCGCCCAGAGTACAGCGCGCGAAGTCCCCTACCTCAAGACCGGCAGCATGTCAAGACCTCGGGAAGCAAAAGGGCGTCATGTGCAGCAGAACTCCGAGCAATGTAAGGTGATGTTTTACAGAGCATGAAAGCGAGTAGGTAATTGAAGGCGGCGAAGGACACGGCAAGGACAGATGAGGGGATGGAATTGGTGAATCAAACACTCGAATCAACAGATGATCGGCCCGGGCGCCGAGCTGTTACGCTGCACGGCATTCCTGGACGCCATGGAGACCGGCAGACTCAAGGGGATATGGGACGCATACCAGGGTGTATACAGGGGTTTTGGATATCAGGTGGACGAAAGGGTTCTTCATGAGGTGGGTGGAGCTCACCAGGTTTGGCCTGCGCGGTCAAGACCCTCTTCCCGCCATCGCCAGCGATCGATGGTACAAGAACGTCACTGACCCTGCCGCCACGGCCGGATCTCCACTACCTCAAGGCAGTTGTTGTCCGGGTCTTTGAAGAAGATGGCGGGCCGGTTGGCGGAGCGCTGGAAGGGGATGCCGTGCGCCTCGAGCCTCTCCTCCAGGGGCTTGACGGTGTGCACCCCCACGCACGTGTGCCGGTCGCGCGTCATGCCATCCCCCACGCCGTCGGGGGTGGGGTTGGGGTTGGGATTCTGGAGCTCCATCAGGTGGATCATCTCCGGGCCGATCCAGAGCCAGGCCCCGGCGTAGGGCAGCTTGGCGTCGGGGCGGTCGGGGTTGATGGCCAGGCCCAGCACCCCACAGTAGAAGTCCAGGGAGCGGGAGAGGGAGGAGCAGAGGAGGCCGACATGGTGCACCCCGTGGAAGCGGATGCTGTCGTCTGGGGGGGGGGGGGGACTTGTGGATGATGAAGGATGTCTCACTGCTTTCCTCCTTGTTGCACCCCCCTTGCAAGGCCATCATGGCCGTGAGTACGGCGGTGCCATGCCCGCTGCCAGAATCAGCGCGCCTGCCAGTTTCAACACCGACCTGGGGGCGAAGCGGGGCTGCCAGATTGAGATTTGAACTCCCTGGGCGCGGTGCTGGTGATGGCCTTGGTGGATGTGGACGGCTTCATGGGCCGGGAAGTGCGCGCGAACATCCTGCATGTCGTTGGGCAGGCATGCTGGCGTGCCCGCGTGGCATCGGGCCAGATGGGAGTCGAGTGGTTGTGCGCGCTCCCGGTCACACGAGTCTCGGAGAGGAAGCTCGAACCAGCACGGTGTACTGCGCACTGCATGGCTTGTTCACTCACGAAATGTCGAATTTACAGATTTTGATGGGGTCAGACGCGCCCAGTGATGGAGATATCAGCTCCTGCAACGAGCTATCCGAAGGAAACGAGATCAAGGGTTGTTTCCCGCCAGAATCCACCCCGGCGCAGATACGCGAGCAAGCGAAAAATGTGTATACCCGTGCCGACATGCGTTGAAATAGTGATACAGCATATATTCAAATAAAGGAGGATGATTGAACCTATCTTATCGAAGCAGGGTAAGACAGCTTGCCGCGGCCAGATCTTGCGTCGCGAATCGTGAGCATGAATCTGAAACGCCAGGATGCACAGGTACACGTCCAGGGCACTCGTCCTGGCCAGCTGCTGGCTGATGTACCTCACAGGTGCGATTGAGGGGGGCGTAAACTATCCTCCCGATCTCCCCCCCCCCGCCGGCACAGCTTAACACCTCGCCCAGATCATCTCTGCAGGCGCTGGGCTGGCTTGGAGAGCACTCGTAGACCCCCGTGGTCCTGTTCCCAGGGCAAGCCTGACACTGCAAGCGCTCGCTCTCGGTGAAGATGAGGGGTCCCACTCGAGACCTCCTGCATCGTGCGCTAAAGACCCTGTCATCGCGGTGACACTCATTCCCATGGGTGCTGAGGAGGAGGAACCCTCATGGCTCCACACCCTAGGTTCATACCTCGCCTCCGAACTGGCACGAGCTCTTCCAGGCAGCCTCCCCCAGATCAAGCCCTTGCACGCCCCACCCCTCGCCTGTGCGGAGGGTGCCTGCTCGACCGGCGACCTGTCGACGCTGGGCGAGCTCGCCTGGCAGCTCCAGCTGGCGGGGATGGGTGCCCCCGAGGTCGCGGTGTCCGTTATCCTTCTGCTGCAGGCCCCTTTTGACCCGCATGACCCTGCCTTGCAGGTCCTGGGACCCAGCCCAGATGGCGACCTGGTCATAATCGTGCAAGGTCGGGGGCAGGAGACAGTAGCGCAGGCGGCCGAGGCCGTGGCGGACTGGATGGGCCGGCGCGACGAGGAGGGGCTGGCGCGGTGGTGCCGTGGTCGAGCCGCCCGCTCGCTGACGGGGCTGATGGCCGCCGCAGGCCTGCGCAGTCCCAGCCCGGCGCTGGCGGCGGCCTTGCAGGAGGCCGACGCGGGACTGTGCGACGGAAAACAGTCGCACGCCGCCGCCATTGCCCGCGCCGCAGAGCTGGCCGCGCACCCCGACATGATGCTGCGCCCCGCTTTCCCGCCGCAACACGCCGCCGCCGTGGTGATGCCGCTGGCCCTGCCCATGGGCCTCGTCCTCATGCGGCACACCGCCAGGACGCTCCGTGATGGAATGAGTTTGAGTGCGCTCTGTGGCTGATGTGTAACTGCGGTGCATTCCTTGTACAGAGATACGAAGGTAATTACACAGTAAAGGTTATCCCTCCTGACCCGCTGCCCTCGCCCCTGGACTGACCCTTGAAGCGCGCTGGAGTCCTCGGCCAGTCTCCAATTAGAGCGGCATAAGGAGGAGACCACGATCCTTGCGACCCTAAATCACACCACAAGCCTCACACTCAGTTACCGTCCTTCTTCTTGGGTTTGCGCCCTCGCTTCGTGGGCGCCTTCTTCACCTCGACCGGCGCCGCGGCGGCCGCGGCCGCCGCCTCGGCCTGCGCGGCCTGCTGGGCAACCACCGCCTTTTCGGCGGCCACCTCGCTGGCGGCCGTCGCCTCGTCCTGCATCACCTGACCCTCCTGCGTGACGTACTCCAGCGCGCTTTCCACCCGCGCCTCATGGGCCGCGATGGCGGCCTGGCGCTCTGCTTCCACCTCCCCCCTCCGCGCTCGCTGCTCCGGGAAGCCTGCAGGTTGGTATGTGGCATTTTCGAGCTTAGATTGTGCCATTCAATATGGATTTAGGATTGTGCCCGCCACTGCCGACGCCCTTTTGATTCCCCTCACCATCAGTGATCAGGGTCTGGTCCTGGCCCCGGCACTCTGCCAGCGCCGCCTCATCCACGTTTTCGATGAATGCTGCCATGCGCACCATGCACGCCTTCAGCTTCTCCTCCACGTCAGCATACACCGCCAGCTGCCCGGCAAACTCATCCAGGACCACTGAGGCATGTGGTGGTGGAACCGAGTGGAAGGGTAGCAAACATCATATGACATTTATGTGTAACCAAGGCATTTCTAATGATGCTTGGCCATCATGCCCTCCAATCTCATTCAATGATCTAGCCTTCACTGTACTTGAACACCTCCCAATCTCCACCCCTACCTGCGAGCTGGTAGGAGATGCGCAGCGTCACGACTGTGCCGCCTTCCTTGCCCTCCAGGACATTGGAAACTGTGCCAGATGCAGACGCTTGAGCCCTGGCCTCCTCCACCGTCTGGAAGAGGACTGCAATAACCAAAGGGGTGCCCTCCACTGGTTCCTCCAGAATGCACCGGTTTGGCTCGGCCTCTGTCCTCTTGAAGGTCGTGTAGAACTCCAGGTAAGGCGTGCGGGCTGGGGTGGAGGACGTAAGAAGGGCAGGAGTGGGGTTTGGCAGCACGGAGGAGGGTGACAAAGGGGCCATGCTTGTCCGAGGAGGCATCACAGGGCCAACCCTTTATGACTGAGAAACAGTGTCTGTCTCAGAAACCCACTTGCCATACATGGTGCATTAAGAAACTCCGAGGCAAGCTACACAGGATCCTTGCGCTCACCCCATCGGTACATGTAGAAGGCAGACACGAGGCTGGGGTCATCCTCATGGAACCCCACCTGCATGGAGAAATATGCCTTAGAATGTGGTGCCGCCGTGAACAATCTGATTGCTTGCCTGCGCTGGCCTTCATCATCATCTGATCATTTCTCAGAGCCACCAGAAATGGCATTCCACCCTGCCAATAAGGATGACAAGGGCTTCTCCCCGTTCAGCATGCATGCCGCAGGTGGTGACTGGCCCCTGCAAACACAACGTACCTCTTCAATCATGTCAAACCACTGCAACCAGTTCAGGCGGTCACTCCAGATGCTGTAGCACTTTTCTATCCCTGCAGCCACCGGCATGACAATCTCGTGCTGCATTGCCTTGTCTGTGTACTCGATCAGCTCAAATGGAGTGTAGTCTGCATTGATTATTGGGTGTTTGGAGGGAGCTGGCGTTATGCAGCTATGGTCGGAGTGTTGTCAATCTCATTGAACATCTCGTAAATTGCAAGGTCTTCTGAGCTTATCCCTTGCTAGCGATAGACATAGCTCCTCACCTCCTTGCCGCCTGTACCCATTGAAACGTTCCATGTACACCTCCTCCTCCACCAGAGTAGACCCAGAGGTGGTGGCAGAGGCGTGGATTGTGCGCTTGAGGTTGCATCGCCTGCTTTGATGAGGGCGGCAAGGGTGAGTGGGAGGTAGCTGAGGCGTCCCACCCTTCAGGCCAGAAGGAGTCGATGCAGGCAACCCGGCGTCACATGTGAGCAGGTAGCTTCCAAAGATCATACCACGGGGTCCCTCGTACCTGGGCCCGACAACGCTATGCTTGAACACTCGCTCCCCTGCCAACCCGCTGAGGAGGCGCAGCTGGCGTCCATGCTCGAACGTTGGCACCGTCGGGGACATGCATGCGGCGGTGCTCCACATCCTTTTGAGCCAGTGAGCGACAAATGACCGGTTTAGGCGTGCAGATGCAGGATTAGGCGCTTTCTCTGGGGACACGAATCCTGTCGCGAGGCTGAAGCCCCTCTCGCTGAGCGTTTGGCGGTGTGAAGTTCCACAGAGTTTAATCAGTTCATTGTTTCAAGCAACATATGATTCGCTTGCCCATGGAGCGCAGGCGCTGTCTTCCCAAACAGCGTTGCTTCATGCATCTGTACTATCTCGCGCCTTGCGTGTTCCGGTGTAAGAATCACAATGGCAGCCGAGCGAACCCAGATCTAGCACTGTTCACAGCGATCCAAGCACCGTGTGGAAGCATTCGTAGCAGGAAAAGCCCATCCCATGCAGCATCTGTGAGCCATGCATGCTCTGTAGCACGCGATGCTGAGGAAGGTGTCTGGGTTGCTGCGCCGTGGTCACGGCCAGGACGCAGCGGCCCCTCGCTCTAGACTGCACACGGAGGACACCGATCACGATGCATCGGGGAAGGGGCTGCCACAGGCCCGCTTGCCCTCCCGCATCTTTCCCGACGGCCCCCGCCAGGTGTCCGAGGAGGAGACTTTCGGTGAGAAGCCCGGAAGAGGAGAGGGGGGCGACCTACCAATCAAATATCAGTGCCAGGCCTCCCTGGGGTCATTACAGGGTGCATTAGACCGAGATACAGCGCTCGTGTCCACGGTTGGGTCCATTCTCATTCCTTGATGACACATTTCTCCCACCCCCCCTGCCGCTCCAGGCCTGCTGAAGCTGACCCTGCACTGCGCGCAGCTCCTGCAAGTCCGCCGGGACCGCCCCTACTTTGCCGTGCTCTCCATCGGCAGCCAGACCCTGACCTCTGCGCGCATACGGGCCCCTGCCCACGAGGATGTGTGCCTGACATGGGAGGCCAGCAGCCACTTTGTGCTGCAACGCTCCGGCCCGACGCTGGCGCGGGTCGCGATCTACCGTGGCGGCAAGTACAAGGGCGCGCTCAACAACTTCCTGGAGGTAGGAGATATGGGTGGAAGGTGGTTTGACTCTGTGCAGGGTTGAGGACGAGTCTACGAGTGCTGTTCCCGGCAGCTGAACCTGCCAGTCCCTGCGGAAAGAGGGGAAGATCCCTGCCTGAAACCTCATCACACCCTCTCGCTCCTGCAGTGCTGGTGTCAGATTGACCTCGCCACCTACTTTGACAACGAGCCGGGGGCGAGGTCCCTGCCCGAGGGCGGCTGGCACGACCTGCTGTCGGCAAACGGCAGCGACGGCTCGGCCTCCCAGCACGCCGGCCGGCTGAAGGTGTCGGCGGCGGCCTCCTCGCCGCGCGCCCTGGAGTCGCAGCTGTGGACGCGCCTGCTCCCCCTGGCCGACTTTGACGGCAACGGCAGCCTGAACGATCAGGAGTTTGTCATGCTCATGCAGGTGTGTTTTGGGGGGGGTAGAGGAGTGGGGCATTGGAAAGGAGGGAAGGGTGGTTTGGAAGTCCCGTGTGCCGCAGGAGGCTGGGGGCCGAACCTCTGTGTGTCATGGATACTCTACCATGGTGATATTCCCCCCCCCCCCCCCACCCGGGATTGTCACCCCTTCTTCCCCCCCCTCCCAGGCCTTTGGCGCCGACCTGGAGGAGCACGACCTGGAGGGCCTGTGGCGGCGGGTGGCTGACCCTGAGGGCGCCGCCACGCCCATCGCTCAGCTGGCGGACCGCATGACGCGCGTGCACAGCGGGGGCGACCTGGCCTCGCTCATGAAGCGCTGCCCTGTTGACGGCGCGGCCCTAGTCCCCGGTCAGGACCTGGCCAACCTCATCTACATGACCCTGGTGCTGGACGAGGGGCTGGCCCCGACCACGCCCTCCGCCACGCTCAAGGTCGGCGGGGAAAGAGGTGGAGGTGGAGTTCAAAAGGGGTGGTGGGGGTGGGATGGAGGCTGGTAGAAGTGGCAGGACCCTCTCAGCGGTGACTGGGGACCCACTGTAGCTCGTTCTATTGCGGTCATGGCATGGCATCCCCCAGCTGCGACACCAAGTTAGAGTCCACCAGCCGCAAAGTCAGCCGTGAATGTGAAGTTCCCATTCCCTCATCTCCCCACTCCAGTATGCTGTACCCGCCCCCTCTCACCCCCTCTCGATCAATGCCCCCCCTCCCGCAAACCCTTTCCCAGGGCGGGTACAGCACGGCGCAGCAAGCGTCCCGCGCATGGATGCTGCGTATGACCGAGTGGCTGACGCACCCCCTGGCCGGCGCGCCTTCCGGCATCCTGCGCGGCAACAAGTACGCGGTGGGTGGCCTGCGCCTGGGCGCCCAGGCGGCGCACATCTTGGTGGTGGACCGCCGCTCGCGGCTGGTCGTCGAGGAGAAGCTGGGCGTGGTGCTGTCGCTGGCCATGCGCAACATGTATCAGTCACGCATGGGGCGGGTGCTGATGCGGGAGGGCTTCTTTGCCCGCCTGAAATCCATGTCCGAGACCAAGGGGCGGTACATGGACAGCCCGGAGAGTGTCAAGGTGGGCGGATGGGAGAGAGAGGGAAAGGGGGGCTGATATTGACAGGGATGAGCTGCTTGTGAAAGTGGGACCCCAAGTGCCAAAGGGATCATCCGCTGGCGTATCAGGCAGGAGGCTACGGACGTCTGTGGTGGGACACACAGCACAGCACACTCCTTCACTCAGCGCTCTCTACAAAGCCCATCGCAGGACATCCCTATATTCCTCCACCTCTTCAAGGACGACCTCAACCTGTCCGAGGTGCCAAGGGGGGGCGCAGGGGAACAGAGGGGTGCCAGATGACGGCGGGTTGATGTTTGAGGCTCTGAGCCCGGTCTGGGAGGGTCCCGTGCGGACGCCAGGCGGCCATGCAGCATCCCAACACCGCATGCTCGCGATCGCTGCGGTCACGTCTCCTGTCACCCTGGCCATGCTCTACCTGAAACCTCACACCCTCCTCCGCCCGCAGATCCGGGACCCCATCGACAGCTTCCGGACCTTCAACCAGTTCTTCTTCAGGGAGCTGAAGCCAGGGGCGCGGCCCATCGCCTCACCGACAGAAGACAGCGTGATCGTCTCCTGCGCCGACTGCCGCCTCATCGTGAGGACCGGCGATGGACAGGGCGGGGGTGTTTCCGGCTCAGGCCCGGAGCTCGTGGCGCCAGATGTGCCCAGACCTTGGAGCATTCTCCCTCTGCTGGCCATTCCCTTGCCAGTGGTGTGACAGCCGACAACACGTGGCCCCTCTTCTGACGCTCCACAACCACCTCTCCTTCCGGCAGGTGTACGAGAGCGTGGACGAGGCGACGCGGTTCTGGATCAAGGGCCGCCGCTTCTCGGTGGCCGGCCTGCTGGCCGACGCCTCGCCCGAGCGGGAGCTCTCGGCGCCCCACGCCCGCGGCACCCTGGCCATCTTCCGCCTCGCCCCCCAGGACTACCACCGCTTCCACGCGCCGCTGGGGGGCAGCGTGGTGTCCATCACCCCCGTCCCGGGTGAGCTCTTCACCGTCAACCCCATCGCCATCCACAGCGAGTTCGTGGACGTGTTCACCGAGAACAAGCGCTCCATCCTGTGGCTGGACACGCCCGAGTTTGGGCGCGTGGCCTTTGTGGCCGTGGGCGCGACCCTGGTGGGGTCCATCGTGTGGAGTGTGGGGCCCGGAGACGCCGTGGCCAAGGGCCAGGAGCTGGGCTACTTTGCCTTTGGCGGCAGCACCTGCATCCTCCTGCTCCCGGACGCCCACCCCGTGGTCTGGGACGAGGACCTCCTGCAGTACGGGTGGGGGGAATAGGGTGTTGAGGAGGGGTGGAGGGGTGGAGGGGTGGGAGGGAGGAGGAGATCGAAGGGTTGAGTGGCGGGGGAGGGTTGCAGGTTCAGTGCCCAGGCGGGACCGTTCCCAAGCTGCGCATGGCAACTCCTGAGACACACGTACACTTGCGCAGGCGAGGAGGTCCTCCCCCCCTCCCACCGCTGTTGTCCCTCCCTACATCCCCAGATGCCTCTGCATTCGAAGGCAACAGCCTCCCATCCCCTTGTTCACACGCACAGGAGGAAGTCGCTGGAGACGCTGGTCAGGGTGGGGGAGCGGGTCGGCGTGCACGCGGGCTCTGCGCTGGAGACCCCGGCCGAGGAGCGGGCGGCGCTGGCCACCTCCACGGCCGCCGCCACCGCGGGCATCATGCCCCTGGAGGAAAGGGCGCAGGGCATGGACACGGCGCGGGACGAGGCTGGCCTACTCATGGCCATGTCCCCCGTGGCCAGCCCCAGGGTCGCGTCCACACTGGCCCCGGGCAGCAGCCCGTTTGGCTGGGGCGCTGAGCTGGGGGGGACTGCGATGGGGGAGGAGAGCCACAGCTCGGAATCCAGCGACGGCGGCTACGTCTCCGCCACGTGACACAGGCGTCATGGGCAGCATCCATTTGACACGATGGCCACGTCTTTGTCTCTCCAACACAACCGACGGCTGCTGTGTCGCTGCCACTCAATACACCTGGCACGCTCTCCCTTCTCCCAAACCTGATAGATCGATACTGCGCGGGCAAGCCGCGTCGTTTCCAACATGGCAGGCTGCATGTGCAGTGGGAGCACAGTGCAGGGTAACAGGGAGCATAGGGTGTACAGCAGGGTCGCTCGGGGAGGGTACATGCCTGAGCAAGGGGCAGCTGGGACGGCATGCCAGGGAAATTGGCAAGCAGCAGCCTGCCTGGCCAGCTTAGGGCTCGGGGGGCAGTCAAGGAAAGGCAAGGGGAGCTCAGTGTCTGGTCGGGCAGCTGCTGAGGGGATGGAGACAAGGCGCACCCTGCTTGCAGACGTTAACATCGGGTGCTCCTCTGCAACAAAAATGAAGGCGGTGGAGATGCTCGGCGGTGCATCAGCGGGTGTCGAACTCTGCGCGACAGAACGCCGCCGACATCCCGGCTTGAAAACCGCATGGCTCGGCTGGAGATGGGCACGGTGCCGCACAGCGGAAGCTTCCACCCCGTCTCCGCCGACGCGACTGACGAGCTCCACGCCAACACCATCCTCCCGCCTCAGGCGGTGGTGTCGGCCGACGCGGCGCTGGAGTCGGGCGAGGCCTGCCGCTCGCGCGGCGGGCCCCGCGCGTACCGCCTCGGCGCTCCGTTGCCGGCGCCCTCTCCCCGCGGCCGGCGGCGCTTGTACCTCGCGCCGTCGTCCGCGCCGCCGTTGCCCCGCTGCGCGCCGGCCTCGGCGGCGGCGGCGGCGGCGGCCTCGGCGTCGTAGCCCTCCACCGGGTCCAGCAGCGCCTTGCGTGACAGGCGCAGCTTGCCGCCGTCCAGCACGTCCAGGATCTGGACGTCCACGGCGTCGCCCACGGCGGCCACGTCGGCGGCGAGGCGGGGCTGGGGCGCGCCCGGCGCCGCCCACTCGGAGAGGTGCAGCAGGCCCTCGCGCCGCGGCGCCACCTCCACCAGCGCGCCAAAGGGCAGCACCTGCGTGACCCGTGCGCCGCGATACACTCGCCCCCGCTCCGGCTCGTCCACCAGGGCCAGGATGGCCTCGGCCGCCGCGTCGGCATCAGCCTGCGAGTCGGCGCGGATGGCGGCCCAGGCCGGGGCGGGCGCGCCGTCGTCGCCGGTGCCGCCCGGACCCTCGCCGTCGGAGAGCTGCAGGCTGACGCGGTGCTCGGCCTGCAGCGCGCGCAGCGTGCGCCCGCCCGCCCCGATCAGCAGGCCCAGCTTGCCCGCGGGGACGGGGACGCGGCGCAGGCGCGGCGCGTGCGCCGCCAGGCTGCCGCGCGGCGGCGGCGCGCAGGCGCCCATGGCGCGCAGGACCGCCAGGCGCGCGGCGCGCGCCGCGCCCAGCGCGGCCGCCGCCACCTCGCCCGTGATGCCGCCCGCGGCCTTGACGTCCAGCTGGAGCGCAGAGATGCCGTGCGCATCGCCCGCCACCTTGAAGTCCATGTCGCCCAGCGCGTCCTCCGCGCCCAGGATGTCGGTGAGCACGCGGAAGCCGCCGGGCGCCTGCGCGTCCAGAACCAGGCCCATGGCCACGCCCGCCACCAGGCCCTTCAGCGGCACGCCTGGTGGTTGTAGGGGGGTTTGGTGGGGTGGTTGTTGGCGGGGGGGCACTCAGCGGCGCTGGGTCGTGTGCAAAAGGATGAGGGGGAGGGGGGGTGATGCATTCTCTCCCTCGGCCCCTCCTCTCAAGAAAGCACGCACACCCACCCACCGGCATCCAACAGGGCGAGGCAGCCGGCGCAGACGGTGGCCATGCTGGAGGAGCCGTTGCTCTCGGTCACCGTGGACTCCAGGCGGATGGAGTAGGGGAACTCCGCCTCGGGCGGGACTGCGGGGGCCAGGGCGCGCTGCGCCAGAGCGCCGTGGCCAATCTCGCGGCGCCCCGCGGGCCCCTGGCGCCCCGTCTCCCCCACGCAGGAGGGCGGGAAGAAATACTGGAGGTAGAAGCGGTCGTCCTCCTGCCCCGCCATGGAGTCCAGGCGGCGGACACCCTCCTCGCACCCCAGCGTGGCCACGGCCAGCACCTGCGTCTCGCCGCGCGTGAAGAGCGCGGAGCCGTGCGTGCGCGGCAGCGCGCCCGCGCGGCACGAGATTCCGCGCACCGCGTCCGGCGCGCGGCCGTCCATGCGCACGCCCTCGCGCGCGGTCAGCCGACGCGCCGTCTCCTGCTCCAGCGCACGGCAGGCGGCGCCCAGCGCGGCCGCGTCCGGGGCGGGCGCGTCGCCGGCGGCGGCGACGGCGGGCGCCAGGGCGTCCACCGCCTCCGAGCGCAGCGCGCGCAGGGCAGCCTCACGCCCCGCCTTGTCCAGCGCGGAGCGGTGGAGCGTCTCGTACGCGTCGCCGAAGCGGGCGCGGACGGCGTCCAGGGCCGCGGAGCCTTCAAGGTCGCCGGCGTCGGACGCTTCGCTGGCCTCGGCGGCCGGCTTGCCCACCTGTGCTGCCCAGGCATCGATGGCGACGCACATCTTCTGCACCGCCGCCTGCCCAAATGCGATGGCCTGGTGCGTGAAGAAGAGGAGGCAGACAATGTTTGAGCGAGAGAGGCGGCGCGGGCGTCCTCCAACGGTAAAGACATGAGCAGCCAGGACCCAGAAGGGGGACTGCATCCTGCTGCAGGGCGTGCATCTCATCCGCCCAGATGATGAAGCAGAGTGGCACACGAAATGTCATCCGCATAAGGTTGCGATGTCGCAATGGACAGGTGCGAAACCACCGTAGTAGCATGATGGGGTCACTGTGCCGGGGCTGCCACGAAGGCAAACCCCCCGAGGGCCTCGACAGGGCCAGGCTCGAGGGGCCCTACCCCGGCGTGCATGCAGGGCGCAAGGGCAAGAACAGGGTGGCCTCAGATACCGTCCTAACCATGTGTAGCGTCATGCCCTGCCTCTTTGGGCCGGGCTTTCCGATGCCGTAAAGGTTTCTGTCATCACCGGCCGAAACAATGCGCAGTGCAGGAAGCGTGCACAGCGAGGCAAGGGAGAGGGAAGCGAGGGAACCCGGGCCCCAGCCTGGGTGGAGAAAAATCAGTACACCTCGATGCCATCGTCGAAATGCGATCACGAAGGCTCCCCCCCTCCAAGCTACACAGTATACCAGAGCCCCTCACCTCCAGCATGTCTGCCTCGGTCACGAACTCGGCCCCCGCCTCCACCATGAGCAGGCCCTCCGCCGACCCGGCCACTAGGAGGTCGAGCACGCTTGCCTCCACCTCCTCCGAGTCCGGGTCCAGCACCAGGCCCCTGCCCGGGATCAGGCCCACCCGCACCGCCGCCACCGCGGCGCGGATGGGGACGGCGGACAGCGCCAGGGCCGCGCCGGCAGCGGTCACCGCCAGTGCCTCAGTGCCGCGCGCACCGTCGAAGCTGAGTACCCAGGACAGGACCTGGGTGGGGCGGCGCCAGTCGGCCGGCAGCAGCGGGCGCAGCGGGCGGTCCACCAGGCGCGAGATCAGGATCTCGTGCTCCTTGGCGCGGCCGTCGCGCTTGACGTACCCGCCGGAGGTCCGCCCCGCGGCGCTGAAGCGCTCGGCATAGTGCACCTGGAGGGGACTGCCGTGCCTTGCACCAGGCGCGCCCTCCTCAGGTGCGGCATCGCAGCACGCGGTGGTGTAGATCATGGTGTCCCCGTCCCGGGCCATGACCGCGCCGGACGCCTGCCTCCCGATCTCCCCGGTCTCGAGCGTGATCTGGAACACCGAGGGGGTGGGGACTTGTCGGTGCTGTCGGCCCACCAGGCGCAGACCCAAGCCGCACACCACGGGGCCACAAGCATGCAACACGAAGCCTCTCACTAGACCACACACCTTTCGATCCCCAACCTCAAGCACGAGCTCATGCTTGTCGAAATGTATGGCGGGCGGGGCCTCGGGGTGGGCTGCTCTCGAGCCGGCTTCGGCGGCCGAGGATAGGGCGGCCTGACGAGAGCATCGCCGCAAAGAATAAGATCTCGATGTAACAAGGTTCCTAGGGTACAAGGTGAAGGCTTGAGGACATGGGCAGCGTCCCCGCAAGGGCTCGAGGAGGGGGTGGGGTGCCGGCCGGGGGGTGGTGAATGTGCACGGCATTGCCTCCCGATGCAAGTGCGAATGAGGCAGATGCTGGTTAATTTGTCATCGCACGTAGCCCTTGCCCTTTCCCCGGGCAACGGGAGATAATGGTATACGGTAGCCCCCCCCTTCTCCTTTGTGTGATGTCGGCCACGGCCGGCTTGCCCATCCTCGGGGGCCAGGGTCGAGGCTGCGCTGCCCGCGGCTGTGTCAGACGAGCTCCAGGTTTACTCCTTTGGGCCTCTCCCATAGCTCTTCTCGATGGCAACTGCTCAGACAGGGTTGGTGTACTTAAACGACTGAAGTTGTGTCCAAACTCCCTGCCTGCACCCGTGAACGCCTCAGTCTGCACATAGTGTGATCCAGCACATTGACATGTGCTTGACCACACGGAGTCCAAAACCTTCCTCCTAGGATGATCCGCTTCTGTACATGAATAATACCTCAAGAGGTGAAAGAACAAGGGCACACATACATCACATCGACCGGGAGGTGGTATTCACACGCCGCAGACGCCGCACTTCGCACCCGCTCTCACACGTCGCAGCACGGCCCATGGAGCATCCTAAAGCTCGGTGCGCCGCCGGCCCCCTCGCGACCTCCTTCGGTCCCTACCCTCCTCCTCGTCCCGCTTCCCCGCGTTGCGCAGGAGGATGACCAGCAGCCTGACGAAGACGGCCATGAAGTCGATGAAGAGGTCCTGGGCGGCACGGACTGTGTCCCTGTCCCCCGCCTCCGCCTTCTCCACCGCAAGCTGGGTGTCGTACAGGACATAGCCCAGGAAGACCAGCAGGCCCAGGTAGAGCTCGGCCTCGAACAGTGCGGCACCCCCGCCCGTGAACCACGTGACCAGGCGCATCGTGGCAAACACAGCCAGGACGGAGGACAGCATGCCGCCCAGGAAGAGGTAGGATCGGCGACGGGCGAGGAGCGCGGCGCCGCTGAAGCAGAGGAAAATGGCCGCCGTGCCCAGGAACGCCGTCAGGAGGACACTGCGTGGCGAGGAGCGGAAGGGCCAGGTGAGGGGGTCGATGGCATCGTGTGCAGCATTGGCGTGGTCGGCATGCAAAGAATGGTGAGCCTGATCAGCGCAGATGGCAATGTCCACAACACGATGCGTCAGGCCATGCACGATCCCTTCCCCCTTCCCCGTCGCACCCTGGGTGCAGGGTGTACGTGAGGTTGACCAGGGGTCCGAGGGAGGTGCCCTGGCAGAGGGCGGCGCCCATGAGGAGGCCCTCACGCTTGCGCAGCGTGGACGGGAGGGCGGGGGTGAAGCCCAGCCAGATGGTGCAGGCCATGAAGCCCAGCACGCCCAGCATCCCTCCAACCCCGGTGAGCATGTTGATGTAGCATCCCGCTGCTGCGAACAGCAGGGTCACGGCGAGGGTGGCATACACCTGCGCAGGGGGAAGGGGAGGGAGGGGTCAGGGCGGTGCCGGGCCTCATACGTGTGTGGCCCGAAGGCTGGGGCCGGACAGATCGACAGGCTTCTACCACATCAGCTGGCAAGAGACGCGCCTTCTGCATGTGCCGCTGCGTGCTGGGGCTCAGGTCGGTGAACTTCAGCAGGGAGTCGAAGGTTCTGGGGCCTCGGGCCCCAAACACACTGGACAAGCCATCCACGAACTCCATTTCGATTACAATCTGGGTGGGCTGGATCGAAGTAGTTTAATTGTTTTCAGGCCGGGATGAACTCCTCCATGCGATATAACACCCCTGGATTGCACTTCCCGGAAGCCGGGGAGCTCCCGGAGATCATTGGGGCGCCAGAAATACGACAGGGAGCATGCAGGGTCATGTCGCCGCTGGTTACCCCCTTTGGGCTATGACCACGAATCATTACATACCGCTGAGCAAGACAAATTATTCCAGGGCGCACGTAGTTGTTATTTCTTGCTCGCGACAGCGTCGTATCGGCTGTAGGAGCCTGTACCATCGTCGACGCCATGCAGTGACAACACCTTGCTGCTCGAGAGCATCAACGTTCCTTCCACGCACAACTCTGAATTGTAGGGCAAGGAATTATTTGCCGGTCCATGTCAACCGCGCGACCTCCAGCTGTCGCTGGGAACCCACAACCGGGTTCAGAGGTCCGCTGGAGCAGGGCCTTCCGCCCTCATGCCATGAAGGAGCGATCGAGTTCTCGTGGTCGCGTCCTCTCGCGCAACACCCTGCTCAGGCCATCAGATGCCTCAGCAGAATCCGGTGCCCATCGTGGACGAGTCTTGGACAGCCCCCTCCTCTGGCAGGTGCAGACCGATTGTTAGCTGCTCTGGTGTGACTTCCAAAGGAGGGACCCGGGCCCAGCCAGCCATGCCACGCTCCCTGCATTCCTCCCCTCCCCGAATCCATGCTGCCGCAGGGCAGCGAAACCGAGGCGCTTGCTCTTGGATCGGACCCCCAGTCCTTGGCGCCACCCTGGAGACTCCTGCTGCTGAGCGATGGCTCGGTGACGCGCCACCTCTCGCTGCTGACCCAGAGCGAGGTGAACGTCGACTGCGTGGGCATGGACCTACACAGCGACGCTGACCCTTTGCCTGAGGAGGCAGAGGTCATGGGCGGGGGGCTCCTCCTGCGACAGGTAGGCCGACGGGCATGCAACTCTCAAGCACCCCATGCAGGGTGCGTCCTGGGGCGTGCCAGACGACAGGGATCAGTGAGCCAGTCGCAAGGCATGGGCTGCCTGTGTGAGGTCTGCCTCTGGCGCACCCAACACCTCTTGGTCCGGACCCAAGTGCAGGTGTTCTTGCGGACTCGGCGACGACAGGCGCTGGTGTATGCCCGCTCGTGGTGGAGGGCAGACAGCGTGGACGGCTATCTCACGTGGGAGGGGATAGAGGTGTGGGGTGGGGAGGCCATCGGTATGGGCAGCATGAGCCTGTGTCAGGACCCCCCGCCTGAGACGACACCACCAGTCCGTCAGCCTGGCGTACCAATCACTTATTGTTGCCGGCGCCGGACGCATGCCAGCCGACACGCCGGCACCCTGCCTGCTACAGGGACAAAGCCCAGCCCATCTGGACATCTCTGAGCGAACGCAAGACGGAGCTGTATCGCGAGATATTGACCGTCGAGTGTGGTCACAATGAGGAGCTGGAGAGGTGAGTGTCTAATCCGTCTGCTGTGCTGTGCATCCCTTCCTGCTGTCAGTTTCCATCCTCCAGACCTCCGTGCAGAGCAACTCGATGCCCTGCCACATCCTTCACTGCAGGGAATTCGGCCGTCCAGGTCCCTTCTGGGGCCGGTACTACATCTTCTGGCACGCTGGGCAGCCGCTGACGGTCATCCAAGAGGTCTTCTCCCCTGGCATGGATGAGTGGCTGGGGCCCTCCTCACCGCCTGTGCACTAGGGTAGACCCATGGAGGATGCTGATATCCTTCAAAGCGACCTCCGAATGAGTGCGGGGCGTCCGTGAGCACCCGCGAGGTCTGGAATGATGGGGACACGTAAGAAACTTCTCCGGCCTGACTGGGGCCACCCACTTGTAAGTGTCGAGGACTACCCAAAGCATGCACGGACAGACGGTCATCGAAACTCCCTGAGATGCACAGCAATTGTTGCATTACCGTAGCCGGAAACTAGGAGACGAGGTCGTGAGAGTGATCGTGTCTCGAGGTAGGAAAAATTGGTTCGAGGTCGAAGGAGTACATTAGCCCCCAGGTTGCCGGCGCAATGCCAATCCGTACTATCGGTCGGGTGTGGCTGAACGCCGGTGTCCATTGGACCGCCGCGACGGATCTAAGAACGAATTGAAGGATGACGAAACGAGGGGAGTAGTCTCAGGCCCGCTGCACAGTCACTCACGGGCGGCAGGGAGAGACCCTGGGCACCGGGGCATGGACCCCGAAGATGCACCTCCGTGCAAACCGCTGGGGGTTCATGCACTCCACTCGACCAGTGTGACACCGGTTCTATTACTTGTTTTTTACACTTTGAACTTTCGTCGCTTAGTTGGTGGCCAGGTGGAGCGGCCCTGCACCCTGGAGAGTGCACAGGCCAACGGGTCGAATGGAGGGCGGTGGTGACCTGACGGGGGGGGTGGCGGAGGGCGACAGCTCCTTCTCCCACCCCTTCTCCCATGTTCCTTTACTACTTTACCACACAAGAAACCTGGACAGGCTGGGTGGGAACCTTCTTCCGGGCCCGGGCGAGAGCGGCGACGGACCGATGTCTGCCGACCTCGAGGGCGTCAGGAAGCCTGGGCCCGCTGGCTTCCCCCAGGAGGGGGTACCTGGCAGCGAGGTAGAACTGCGACAGCACATCGACTACCTGGCAGGTGGGGTGGCCCCACGGCAGAGTGTCTCCCACCTGCAGCACTCCTGGTGTGGCTCCTGTGACCCTTCCCCCCCACCGCCCGCTCCTCCAACGCAGGCACGATCGCCCACTACCGGAACTGGATGGATCAGTTGTTGGCGCGTTACCAGCTGGTGAACCCCGATGCCGCACGCCCGGCCAAACGCATCTACATCGGCAACCTGTGAGGCCTGGGGTCTGAGACCAGGGCAGGGCTGGGGCGGTGGGATGGGGGGGCCGTCTGCCCGCGGGTGGCTGCACACCGCGCGTGGGCGCCGTGACGTGTCACGCATCACCCACGCGCGCGCACCCGGCCCCCTCCCCCCGCAGGCCGGCGACCACGCACGAAGCCGAGCTCCGACACTTCATAAACAACCTCATCAGCCAAGTGAAGGGGTGTGCGGGGCCGGGCTACCCCATCATCTCCTGCAAGCTGTTCCCGGTGAGGTCAGGGAGGCTGGTGCGTGGGTGGGGAGGCGGGGAGCCTCCGGCATCGGGTGTCTGGTCGCGTCCCCGGCGCCGAGGTCTCCCTGGCTGCTGCGAGGTGGCTGTGCCGCCCAGGACCTGATGTGCCCCCGGACCTCCACCCACGGCACCCGCAGATGCACCCCGGCGCCTCCGAGGGCGGGCTCACAGGCCTGCACATGGCCCAGAACAACGCCGACAGGACGTACGCCTTCCTGGAGCTGCGCAGCATAGAGGAGGCCTCCAACCTCATGGCCCTTGACGGGGTCATCTTCCATGCCAACCCCCTCAAGGTGGGGCTCACGGGGTGTGTGAGAGTGGACTGGCTCCGCGCGTCACCGTGCAGCCTGGGATCCCCCCCCTCCCCCCAATCTGGGAACCGGCTGATGATGCGGTGGATGCCCGCCGCGTGCCGTCGGCCGGCTGCCTGTGCTGGCGGAGGGGCGCCCGCCCCGGCGCTGCGGCACCCGCCACGGCCCTGCGGCACCTGCCCCTCCCCCGTCACTCACGCCCTCCCCCCGCCCCGCGCCGCCAGATCCGCCGCCCAAACAACTACGACCCTGGGCTGGCCATCATGCTGGGACCCGTGGATCCCAACCCGTGCATGGACCTGCCGCGCATGGGCATCATCCGCACCATGGTGCAGGTGTGCGAGGGGGGTGGGTGGGCTCGTCAGCGCATGCCTGGCATGGGGTGGACCGCCTCTCCGAGGCGCGGGGGTTGAAGGGGTGTGGGGCGCGGCAGGGAGGGGGAAGTGGCTGTGCAGGGACGAGGACTTGAGTCATGGTCCAGAGCCTCACCTGCGGCCTGCCTCCAACCACCCCCTCGGCAATGCCTCCTCGCCCCGCACAGGACACGCCGAACAAGATCTTCATCGGCGGGCTGCCCTGCGAGTGGTTTGAGGAACAGGTGGGCCTGGTGCTGGGATGCTGGGGCAGCCGAAGATGGTGCGCCTCAGATGGGCTTGTGTAGGCCTGGCCGCCCCCGCTCCTCCCTCAGTCGTTAAACACGCTGTCCCCCCCTCCCCCGGGGAACCAGGTCCAAGAGTTGTTGTTGCCATTTGGGCGCCTCCTGGCTTTCAACCTTGTCAAGGACCGCGCGACCGGGAACAGCAAGGTCCGTCATGTCGGTTTGCTGGAGCCCCGTCAATTTTCCCCATGGGCCAAACCGGGACTTGATGAGGACTTCAGCCCTTGTCGCATGGATGAAGAGACCTTGGTGCCGGCTCCCACATGTCCCGACCAGCCACAATGGTGTGCGCCCACCCCTCCCCCCCCCCCCCCCCCCCCCCCCCCCGCCGCCCCCCCGGCCCGGCGCCGCT